CTACGCACAAGCTGAAGTTTCCCCAGTTTTTCTTCTGTAAAGAGAATGAACGACTTTATGAAAAATCATGCATTTTTGTACATCGCATTATGTGCCCAATTGGTATATGAAATAGAGTGCTTAAGTTGTAAAGCACTTTACATCGCAAAAGCTAAAAGAACATCCGGTGTGCGCGTAAGGGACACTTAACTAACAGAGGATGTAGAATTCTGAAGTCGCCACTCGGACCAAAGTCAGATAGCAGTGGCGATGACATCTTAGTCATGTGCACTAGCAGCTGTGTAGCTGTACGGTTATAGGAGTGATACATAAGGAGTGCCGAGTAGAGCTCCTTACATGAGAACACTGTGACATTTAACTGGGCAGGAGTAGTGACACAATTGATCAACTACCTTTCAAAGTGAGCTTGAATAAGCAGTGTTCTCTGATGCAATAGATACATAGAAGATCATTTCCCGTAATTCTTAGCTCCCCTTCGTATATTTCACGCTGCATGAATTGTGGAAGTGAGTGCAATTTGGCTCTGAGAAGGGCCTGTTGTAAAAGAATGATTAACTACAAAAGCTTTTCTGAGGGTGGCAATATAAGTTAAGCTGCGGTGACAATTCTAGCGACTATTCGTTCGCCTTTTGGCAAAAAAGCAATTTTGCTTTCACAAACGACAGACCGCAGCTTTAAATGCCACCAATTAACAATCTACCAAAGTTTTAAAGGAAAAGGGTCGCTGATATAGATCATTCAAAAATTGTGTTCAACTGTCCTGACACCTCATCCCCTATCAACATTTTTGAAATGAGATTCTGTCAGCGAATAGCACTATACATTGCTAAAGTTCTAGGTGGGGCATCTAACAAATTGAGCAGTAATAGCAGCAGTATATAGCTCAGCAGTCAAAACCACGTTGTTGAACGGTTTCCATTTTGACGTTTTTTCGCGACCCACCCCCTAGTATTTAAGCCAATTTTGTATTTTTTCATTTATTTTCGAGGTTATTTTATCTTTTAACAAAAGCACTGATGAATGGATGATGATCGAATTGTAGGGCACTACGAAAATGATGGCAAACCGCTCTCTGACGAAGTCTTAGGTAAGTTTCTCCTTTAAGACAGTACTTCTTCCAATATTTCATTGTTGTCAATTATTTTTCCTTCTAATTTACCGTTTTATCTGGCTTTTTGTCGGAATGGTCCATAATCTGATGATTTTCCACACTTAAGCGCTAAACTATATCCTGATTGCTATGGTATAGTACGGCGGCGTAGCAGGAGGTCCCAAAGACATGCCGCCTATCCCCGCAGGTAGCAATTAGAGGCGCGCGCCATCCCGGATGTATCTGGCAACTCTCCAAAAGATGGGTGCAGGTGCACCCACCACGCCGTCAATGGCGTATGTCAATCTAAACCGTGCGTGAAATTCTTCTACAAAAGGGAGAAAAAAAACATATACTGAGGTTCAAAAGGCAAGAAAAGTAAGCAGCAGAAATTTTACACACAATTCTATTAGATAAAAATAAATTGAAAAAATATGTTGGATTGCAATACATCGTTTATTATTTGAAAGCTCCTTTTATTGATGTACTAAACATTAAGAGATGTGTTTGGCATTACATGACAATATCATTGTAGAAATTTGACATAAGCGGAAGCGTTGACAAATAAATAAATAAATATTATATACTTATCCATTATTACAGGCTTCGGAATCTAATGTTATTGTGAAAAATCATCTTAGGCTTCTACAAGTCATACCAATACTCCACAATTACTGCGCTTGCATTTTTTCCATTCCAGATATCTTGCAATTGTTCGAAATTCCAACTTAAAACGGCGATTACATATTGTATTTCCATATTTTTAAATTTGAACTTTTCATAGCAATAGCGCAAAATTTTACGAAACAATTCTGTCCAGTTTTCCACTTGTTTCTTTCTCATTTTTTGGTTACTTTAACTTTCATACTCAAGCGCTCATCTGTTGTGATAGTGTTACAGACTGATATAAGCCGAGGAAAGTTGCCAGATCCAACGGAGATGGTTCGCATCTTTAATTGTTACCTCCGGGGATAGGCGGCATGTCTTTGGGACCTCCTGCACGTCCTCCGTATAGTACAGTATCGAAGCAGCTGCTTGTATTTTGTCAA